TTACAAGCCCTGGACTTATATTGTGAACTGCGCTTATAAGTCGGATCCTGACCTTTGCGTACAGAAAGAAAGTGTGTTGTCTCTGCATGCAATTAGTATTATCTTTATTCTCACGATGGCCATAGCCAATAAGAGAGAGAAGAGAGAGAGAGAGAGAGAGAGAGAGAGAGAGAGAGAGAGAGAGAGAGAGAGAGAGAGAGCGAGAGAGCGAGAGAGCGAGAGAGAGAGAGAGAGAGAGAGAGAGAGAGAGAGAGAAAGAGAGAGAGAGACAGTACTATGTGTTATCAATCAGAGTGGGTGCAAGAAACCGGGAGAACCAGTGGCTAGTGGCAGCCGTGGTTTGGGTTCTTCATTTATGTAGAGACGAAGAAGGAAGTATATCCATTGCGAAGGCAGGTAGGAGATAGAGCTTCATTAAAAAAATATACCTGGGCTACTGCGGGGGTTGGAGCATGTGCAAATTGACGATACTATGATCGAGTAATTGTTTGGTGCTGTTCCTTGTCATGGTGTGAACGATGGGCCATAATCTGTTCACTCTTAATTTCAATACAATGGGGTTTGTCAACTGACAACCGCTTTATTCAGTTGCTGAGTGAAAACTTATTTTATTAGTGATGGAGAAAAATTATGATGCCACGACTTTCTGAACGCAGTTTTGGAGTGGTGCTACAAGTACATCACACATACATAGTGCTAAACACATCTACATAGTGCTAAACACACATACATAGTGTTAATCACATGCATAGTGTTAATCACATACATATTATTGTTAATCACATACTTATTTGAAACTCGGATGTTGAGCCATAAATTTATTTATTTATTATTTGAAACTCGGATGTTGAGCCATAAATAAATGTGCAAGAGAAAAAGACATATGGATACGAGTTAAGAGTAACTCTCCATCACTGTAACATGATACTATATAAAGTCAGAAAGTGCAATAACTCGACACTCTTTGTTCCGTCGGGACTGTAGCTTTTGCTCGTTTTCGTTGCGCTTGCCTTCCCCTCTTTGGTCTTTTCCATAACCTTGAACCTTCCAGGTTGGAAGGCTGTCGGTTAGCGCTACGGAGATGTGTTGAAGCTAGGTGTCAGGACGTCGAATGTTTCAGTACTCTGTCAGTTTTGTGCCTAGTTATCGCACTTTCTTACTGTATATAGTATCATGTTACAGTGATGGAGAGTTACTCTTAACTCGTATCCATATGTCTTTTTCTCTTATTATTTATTTATTTATTACAGCATCTCATAGCACAGTGAGAACACCGGCCAATACAAAGAGAGAGGGTGTTAGCCAACCACGGCAAGGAAGGGAGAAGGGGAGGAGAAGAAAAAAGGAACCGGCATGGATAAGTAGTGATTCCAACAAAATGAGAAACACAAAATCAAAGTCAATGCGCGGCAAGGCTCTTAAAAAGGCGGAGGGAAGAAAGATCCTTAGCTTCTTGGGGAATTGCCAGCCACGCAGAGTACGCAGTGAAAAGGGGAGAGTGAAGTAGAAAGGAGGACTTGGGTTTCGGAAGGGAATCATTCACCCCAGTGTCTGGAGATATGTGGATTTTGTAGAAAAAAAAGGGGAAAGGGAGTTTCTCGTGCTACGGGAAGAAAACCAGTTGAAACAGTGGAGGTGAGGTGGACACAGATTGAGTGTGAGAGAATGGATAAGGGCGACAAGATGTGAATTTTGTCTCTTAGACAAAGGGGTAGTGTCAGCAAGGGCATAAAGGGTGGAAGATGGGAGCATGCGGATTTTTCGGTGGAGGATTTTTAGAACTTTTTTGTGCTGAATTTCGAGCTTGGCAGCACGGGTTGTGGATATTCCAGCCCAAGCAGTATCTGCATAATCAAAAATGGGGCGTACGTAAGCTGAGTAAAAGAGGAGTTTACAAGAGATTGGGAGATGGTAACAGTGAGAAGAGAGGATTCCTAAAGATGAACTTGATCGTTTACATATGTAATCGATGTGGGGTTCCCATGAAAGATTAGAGTCAATGAAAATGCCAAGATGCTTATGGCTGGAGACTATGTCTATAGGCTGGGGGAAAGTGGGATGGAGGAGGGGCGGAACATCAGGCTGAGAAGGAAAGAGCATGATTTTAGTTTTACACAGATTGGGCGATAACGGCCAAGACGACATCCAGGGAATTTCTCTTTGAATAATCGTTAGCTAGGATACTCATCAGGCCAGTGATGTTAGGAGATGCCCGTAGGAGCGTTGTGTCGTCTGCGAACAGTGATGTGCCCGGGGCAGCTGCGGGCAGATCATTGACGTATAAGATAAAAGAAGGGGGCCGAGGATGGAACCCTGGGGAACTCCGGATAGTACTGTTGTGTCGGCTGAGGACGTCCCATGTACCGTGACGTACTGCGTTCGCCCAGTTAGGTAAGATGTCAGCCATAGCAGGGGATTGCCGTCTACAGTAAATGTTCCACGAAGCTTGGTCAAGAGCCCCCGGTGTCAGACGGTATCGAAGGCCTTGGCAAGATCGAAAAAACAGATCCCGACTAGATCTCCAGCATCCCGATGTCGACACACTAATTGCACCAGGCGCGTCAGCTGGAGGGTGGTAGAATCGCCTCTGTGAAATCCGGACTGAGCTGAACTCAAACGTGATGACACATGACAGTACAATTGGTCGTAGAAAACACGCTCACAGAGTTTGGAAACACAGGACAGCAGAGATATCGGACGGTAGTTTGATGCTTCGTGGCGCGACCCTTTCTTGTAGATCGGTATAACATTAGCTGTTTTCCATGCAGAGGGAAAACGACCAGTGAGGAATGATAGGTTGAAAATCAGACATAAGGGGTATGCTATTGAGGGCGCAAGGGACTTTAATACCAGATTAGTGATGCCATCTGGGCCTGGCGCCTTGTCAGACAGGAGCTTTCGAATGTAACGTCGGATGGCAGCAGTCGTAGTAAAGACAGATGTGAGGCGGTCAGCCTCACCCGACTCCTCGGCAATGGGGGGAATGGGTAGAGAAGGGTCATCAGGCACGGCCACTGAGGCGAACTGAGAGTTCAATGCAGTGGCTTTAGCTGAAGAGGTAGTAGCCTGCTGCGTAGAACTAATGGTGAGTGTCGGGATGGCACGAGATACTTTATGATTTTTTAATTTGCTCACGAACTGAAACAGTGATGGGCATTTTTTGTTCTGCAGCGTGGCTTGTACGGACCGAATGTATCCCCGGTATTTCGATCGAGTCAGACTCTTCACCGAGTTCCCTTGAGATCGATATACATGCATGTTAAGCTGGGTTGGGATTTCTTACACACACTGTAGAAATCACGCTTTGCGTTAACCTCTTTAGCGCGCATGCATTTGACACTGCCCCACGCAGTCAAAATTGGGCAAAATTGAGATTTTTGAAAATTCAGTTTATTGACTTCTGTCCTGATCACACAGGACTATGAGGTTCAGAAACGATGAAAACAATGATATTTACAGGATTTAGAGGGATATGTACACGGAAAGGGAGTAATTGAAAAAACCCGAAATCTCAAGATTTTGCCAGAAATAAATGAAAAATTAAAACTTCTCGCATGTGTGATAAATTCTGAAACATGGAGTGGCACATAGGCCAGGCATGTCCACGCAGTCCAGGCAGCAGATTGTGACCATTTTTCTAACCCCATTGTGGGAGCATACGACACACCGGCGCTGCGACTTGCCCTCAGGCTTGCCGCAAGAGGCAGGTACGGGTGCGGGGTAGTGACCCTTGCGCCCACCAAGCCTGGAGGACACAACTAGGCCACGAGCAGTGGCAGGAGTGGCAGGAGTAGCAGGTGTGGCAGTAGCAGCGGCAGCAGCAGCAGGGACAACTGGTGTGGTAGGTACAGGGCCAGCAGCATCCGCAGGAGCAGGGTTGGCAACAGCAACATCATCAGCAGCGGCGGGACCCGTGCCATCCGCAAGCAATGCAGATAATACAGATATAACATATTCATGGTGTGGCATACTCTTGGACTTTTTATATAATATATATGAATTCAATAATGCTTCTTCGATAAAATGTGCACCTATTTTTTTGTACCACTTCATGGATTTTCTCAATGCACTGTAGTACGACAGAAGAGCATCATTGCGATCCACACCGCCCATGTACTGATTGTATTGGTGAACAAGGTTGAGTTTGTGAACCCGTTTCCTGGTGCGGTCGCGTTTATTCGTTGCAATAACATTAGGCTTGAACAAATTGGTGAGAAAATATACTTCTTTGGTGTCCGATAGTTTTACAAATAATTTACTGCCCATTGTACGATATGCAAACGATCCGCGTTTCTTCAACTTGAGGTTCACCAACCGCTTTGGAAGGCCACGCCTATTCTTTCTAATTGTTCCACACACTCCGGTCTTCCTGGTCTCCAAGTATTCAGCCAGCTCAATACTAGAATAAAAGTTATCTATGTATACGTTGTAGCCTTTGTCTAAAAATAATGGATCTAATAAATGGACAACTACGGCACCAGATTTGCCGACTTTCTCTACTAAGCCAGGCTGATAGGCATGATCATCTCGGCCAACATAAACAAAAAAGTTAGACATATAACCACTAGACTCACACAGAGCATATATCTTGACACCAAATCTTGCTTGTTTCGAGGGTATAAACTGCCTAAAATCTAGTCTACCCTTCCATGGCACTAATTCTTCATCAATAGAGATATGTTTATACGGAATGTACACGGTCTGAAATTTATCCTGGAAAAATGTAATCAACGGCCGAATTTTCCTAAGCTTGTCGGTTCTAGCCGTCTCGTCTTCATTGTTTGCAAAGTGCAGAAAACTTGCAATACACATCCATCGGTCGCGCTTCATCGAGGCGGGGAATAAAGGGGTGAAAATCAGAGGGTTCCTGTTCCAATAGAGATCGATTTCTGGCTTCCAAATAAATCCCATCAGCAAAAATAGAGCAAAGAACACTTTCATTTCTTGTACGCTAACGTCTACCCATTTCCTAAATCTGCTACGAGCTGGGAGTGTGTCACGGTGTGCATTTAGATATTGCTGGGCAAATCGATTGGTCTCAGTGCAGAGCAATTGCCAAAATTGTAAAGTAAAAAACAGGCAAAAATAATGATATGGCTCAGCATTTTCTGGCACTGGCACCTTGATACCGGGCTGGGCAGTGAACGAGTCTTGCAAGGGCTGGTTTTCTTCCATCTTCCATTGCCCTAATACATCACAACACGAATAATGTAGGAAATATCAGGCCACATGATGCCCTACAGTGTAGGAAGGCTGATGTACGTCTCAAATACTCTGGAATTTAGGCAACATTTTGTTTGAAAATTCTCCAGTTACGCTATGCATAACGCCAAACAGATCTTGAACGATGGCCAGGAATATTACAGTAAGACTACTTTCAACAAAGGTACAAACGCACGTATAATAGTTTTACTCAGCTCAAAGTGCAAACACAGCGTACTCAAATTCACACGAACAAATAAATACTATTGAAAAGATAATTACCTTCGCTCCCATCGTCTCCTGCGGCAAGCTGCTCCTGGATGTGGACATGCGACCTCTCGGACGCCTGTTCATCATCGTCGCTCTCCGTGCCACTAGTACTACTGCTGCTACTGCTGTCACGGACGTCCGCCGGCTGCGCTTCATTCGCAACATCGATGTCCGCGTGCTCCGCGACGTACTCATCGACACTGGCGCTTGCTCCGCCACTCACATCACGCGCAGTTTCGTTCTGAACTCTGGCCCTTGCTGGCGTCCATAGACCCTCCTCGTCGCTGTCGCTACTCACTGACGGCTCCACATCGCTGTCTGAACTCAGAAACAGCTCGTGGAGCGCTTCGTCCACAGTTCTTCCTCTCGCGCGGCGCAGCATTTTCAACCAAAATGTTCTCGCCTGAAACTATTCCCCGTGCGTCTCCTTTCGTTCGATTTTTCCCGCCTCGAATCACGTGCCGGTTCCAGGCAGCCCCCAGCAGCCCGCGAACAGCCAGCGGTCCACGACAGAGCCACTGGGACTCGATACGGACCCCACGATCACGATAGGCAGCTTCGCTCTACAGCGTCGTACTAGTACGACGGTCGTGGGGCATGCAACTAATGTGCGTCGTACTAGTACGACGCTCGCGCTAAAGGGGTTAATGGCGGCACGGAGGGGGGCACAAACCCAAGGTGGCTGACCTAAACGTCGGCATGAGGGAGAGAGTGGACGCCGGGAGAATTACCCGAGGTGCTTCTCCATGGCCCTGCTAAGAATAGAGTGGAAAGACGAAAGAGCGTCATCCACGTGCGAGCTGCGGAGGTGACATTTCCAGTGGACATCAGCAAGTTCAGCATTCAGGTCATTCCATACGCAACGTGGCACCAACTTGAAGTTATAACCTGGGGGTGTAGGGGTAGATGTTGGGAGGAAGTGATGTTGTAGGGTTGGATTTTTGGACGTGACAGGGAGACGGACTTGACAGAAGAGCTGCACGTCGTCAGAGCTACCCAGTGGAGCAGCTGAATCAACGGAGAGGAACTGCTGGGGTGAATTTGTGACGATGAGGTCCAAGCAAGATGACCGGCCACTTGGGCTCCAGTGCGTAGGGAAGTTGACCAGTAGCTCTAATCCGAAGCACCTGAAGGCGGTTTCAAGGCACTGACCCACCAAAATAAATAAATGTAGAAAAGAAAAGGACGTATGGATACAAGTTAAGAGTAACTCTCCATCACTGTAACTGGATACTATATACAGTCAGAAAGTGTCAGGACGTTGAATGTCTCAGTACTCTGTCAGTTTTGTGCCTAGTTATTGCACTTTCTGACTGTATATAGTATCCAGTTACAGTGATGGAGAGTTACTCTTAACTCGTATCCATACGTCCTTTTCTTTTCTACACATACTTATTGTTAATCACATACATATTGTTTTGTGCCCTTTTGTCGCAATCGCTGACTGTATAAGATCTGGTTACGTTGGTGGACAGTTAGTCATAACTCGTAACATTTTGTCCTTCGTCTTTTCACAATTATTTCATTGGCTCACCATCCGAGTTACATACTTATTGTTAATCACATACATAGTGTTAATCACAAACTTTTTCTTTTCTTTTAGGTTACATTTTTCCTTTTCTGATTTTCTGGGTTTGCGTTAAATTTGTATTGTATTTTCATCCATTGTGTTTCGTTTGCCACAAAAGAGGCTTCTCAACCACTTTCTGAATGTATGGCAAAATGTCATTGTTATATTAAATAAAAGTGGAGAGGCTTCCTGCAGTTTCACGCTCTCTTCCATTAACAACCTGATGAAGGCATTTTCCCGAAACGTTTTATTAATTAGTGTGAAATGAGTTGAATTATTGCAGTGTCAATGGAAGAGAGCGTGTTGGCTCTGCTCACTCAACTATAATCATGTTGTTTTCCCAGTTTTCCATTAGGCCTCTTTGTATTCAACATTTGACTTTCTCAGGGCCAACAACAATGATTCAGGGATTAGGCAAAAGCAAGATGGTCTGCAACATGTTTTAACTATTATTTTTCTCACAATTTTGTGTCAATTACAAACTTATCGAAAACAAATGAGCTGTGAATAAACTGTTGCAGGCTGACTTACGTATTTCGCACAAAACGTACAAATCATCCATTTGACTATATGTCCGCCCGATGTATGAGCTTAATATACTTCCATTAAATCGCGGTTCTCCTATCCAAGCTATTAGAAACTCATCTACCAGGCCAACTGCACACCCAGCTGCGAAAGACGCCTCTGAGATTACCGTTCCTCCATAGAACTTGCACATTGAGACGGCAGTAGGGTAGTCGACGATGACATCAATAAGGCTTCTTCTCACAACGGTTTTAGATGCAGCGCACAGTTCCAATCCAGTCAGTTCTGAGGTTACGAACAAAACACGTCCAGCACACAATCAGCACCATGGTAACCATAGTAACCAATAGCGACGTGAAGCTATAACACCTGAACACTGTCAACACAGTTTAGTTAAGGTTTCCTTTTGGAGACGGCCACGCTTCTACCACCCTGTCGTTGATGGTCTTGGCCAATATTTCCAAGACCCTTGAGGACCCTAGTTACCTCGTGCCACACACATGTAGTTCTAGACCATCATCCTGGCCTTGTTTAGCATTTATGCAGAGTATCATTGGTGAGGCCTGTCCCTCTAGGCCTAGTGTAGCATTTATGCAGAGTATCATGGGTGAGGCCTGTCAGGTGCTCAAAGTCCGACCACATTTACAGTGTGTGTTTGCCGAGCTGAAACTCACACTAGCAACGATCACTTGCCAGAATCCTGCTTTGTTTTGAGGCCAGGCTCGATTGAACCAGGCCATCTTTCGATCCGATCTGTTTCTTGGGGGTTCGCTGATTTTTCATATGAGATTTTGGTGTCACCGAGGGTGCTCTAAGTCTGTAGAGCTCAGAGGTGACTCGAAATACACACATATTTTAGCCAATAGCTAGCAATTGCTAACTCGTACCAAAGCGATGTGTTTGGAATGTGCCTCCACCAGTATTCCTTGCAAAAGCGTAGTTTGTTGCCGGAAGGCAAGCTGTTTTTAGCCGGCTCAGAAAAGAAGCAGCTGCGATGTGAAAAGCTGGGCCTTGCCGGGAAATTTGAATGATTTTAAATCTACTGGTTTGAGGGAAAGAGACAAACGGGAAAAGTCTGAAGAAAAAATTGACTGTCACCACCAGGACTCGAACCAGGGACCCTCGCTTGTAGCCAGCGATGCTCTAACCACTTCAACATTTTCTTCAGACTTCGTAACTCACACTTCCTTTGAATCCACACAGGCACTCATATGTTTTTTTCTTTTTCTTTTAGTGATTGGTGTAGTGCAGAGACTGTTCGGAGAGTGTCGTGAAGATGTACGGATACAATAAGAGAACACAAAGTTAATTATTGGTGTACGGACTTTGGATACCTGTCCGGACTCTGAGCACCTGGGTCTACCACTTGAATTTGGTTACTGGAACGGAACTCATTTGTTTAACATAATTTCCTACTTTTTGTGGTTTTGGCATCATGTGTTGACTGGATGGGGAACCATTCAACTTACCATCATAGCGGCAAGTGACGTTACCGGCCTTTGACGCGTTTCTCTTGGGAAAACAAGCTAAACAAAAACGAGGCAACAAATAGTTACAGTTCAATATCAGTATTGTAATAGAGGTCGGCGGTGGGTAATAATTTCCAAACGAACGTAGGTTCACAAGCATTGACGCAATCTTACTTATCTAGTCAATAAGAGACTTCCCATAATAATGGCATCGAACGTTTTTGTCCCTTCTCTTCAAGGATATTGCAGGGAAATTCTCAAGTCGTAAAGTATACAAGAACAACATACTCAAGTCTGTGGACAGCAACTGTTTCGCTATGTTAGAGCTCATCAGCACAGCTCAGAGGACCGAAGCGCAGCTCTTCGCAATGAAATACGTTTCCGTGAAGCAAAGCATTTTTATAAAGAGCTGCAAACCCCGCCAAGAGTGCTCAAAATGCTCCAAAACAACAACATACAACAACAAAAAGTCAAAAAAGACCAGAAGTTGTATAGCGCAAAGATCAAGCTAACAACACTTGTGGCAAGGTGGCAATTTATCAAGTTCAGACCAACACATAAGTGCTTTCCGCCGGATTTACACTTGGATACTAGCATCACGTCAACAATTCAGTGTTTCAACCATGTTTGCACATGATAATTATGATTATCCCAGGACTTCCTGCCCAGGACGTCCAGCCTCGGGCGCACGCATTATGATTACCCTGTTCAGTGCGAAAAGGTGATTTTAACTACCAATATATTTATAATACCAAATGTTAAGGCGATACTGTAAAATCGGAAAGTCTAACGAGATACAAAGTCTAACGTTTTAACGACCAATTTCTTCAGTATTTCAAAAGAACGTTATCGCTAGAGGTCTGTGTAAAGATGCGCATACAGATGGGTGGCCAGCTAGCCATCGCTAACCTTTCTGACCGTAATCATGCACAAATTACAAAAACTTTAAACTTTTTCGTCTTTAGACTTTACGGTCTTACAGTAAATAGTATAGGCAAAACGGACATTACGAAATGATCAATGAGAATATAATTTTATTAGTGTAATTAAGAGTATAAAAGATGCAGACATGGCCAAACAATAACGAGTTCATGGAATTTTCAAGGATTTTTATGTTATTCAAAATCGATTTTCGTGTTCCGCTCATCAGTGAATAGTATCGGAACTGAGGGTTCTGTGTACAAAAAAAGAACATTTTAAAACAGCATAATTAAAAGTGTGAACAAAAAAGAAAGTGCTACAGCATTACATAATAGGTGTCAAACATAGTGCAGGCACAAAGCATGAGGTGATACAGTGCAACATGACACAACATTTACATCTGATAACCAGCTACGAGAACAACTTTAGCGCGACTACATGCTTCTTTTGTTTACAAAGAACCGGATTATGCACACGAATACATACAGCTTCCAGAACCTTCTACTGCTTAACATAACTTGCACGGCACAAAACAGAAAAGTGAGAATCATCATACACACTAAGACAATTTGGACGTGATAACAAGTGACAAAATACAGCTGACTTTTTGCTCACGTTGCTTTCTTCCGTCTCATCCCGCTCCTTTCCTTCAACCTCCTCTGCCTCATCCTCGTCCTCCGTCTCATCTTCATCATCATCGTCCTCATCTCCACCATC